AGATTCCTCAAGTATACGTAGTACAACTGCCTCCTCTTCTAGCTTTGTAAGGCGCTTCGCATTCGGCTCGCAGTCGCGTTGAGAGCGTGTTCTGTCGCGTCGGCGTTAGATTGTTCGTTCAGGCACTTTGTAGACTTTCTCAGCGCGTTAGATACTTTGAATTTAGTCTCTTGAGATATTAGATATAGCAAGCTGTACATCAGCTTCAGTATAGAGTGTAGGAGCTTGTTGTGGTTGAGACATTACGCGCTGTTGTTGCGCCGGCGTTCTGGCAGCGAGAGTGCGGCGCTCGGTTGGGTGCGGCGCTCGCTTGTGAAACACGTTAGTTTATTAAGCAGAGCTACTATTGTAGCAGGATTAGGAGTTGTTGTGGCTATTGCAGCTGTTAGGACCGTTAGAGCCGTTGGCTCGAAATTGGCTAGACATTGAATGCACATTGAATGACCGTTGTAGGCCTACAAGTCCTACTGTTGCCCATAGTACAATGCCACGATTTCCTGATTTCGACAATGGAAAAACTTTTCCCGATGTAGCAAGCCTTGATGTGGCGAACGCAATGTCAGGTTGTGTGGTGACCGCAGCGAACAGCAGTAATCTAATTTTGCGTTGATACTTGTTAATTTCTGCTGGCGCTGCTAGTCCACTCCTTAGCTGTAGTTTAGTTGTTGCTATTAGAGTGTTATGTCATATACATCGGGAAAAGTTTTTCGAAATCTGGCCTAGACTGGCCGTTGCTGACAGTCGTGGCATGGTCGTGCAACGGCCGTTCAACGGCCCCAACGGCCCCAATTTGCGCCCAACGGCCCCAATTTCGCGCCAACGTTGCCAACGGCCAAAACGCTGAGTGCCCATATTCAACAAACTCGAAACGACGTTGCAACGTTGTTGCATGGCTACCCTTAGTGCTAGCACTAGCATTAAATATTCAAAAATTGCGAAATTTCACGTAACGTACCCCACGGGCGAGTTGGACACACGGGCGAGTCGGACACTTTTGCCAAGACCCTACTAAACCTCACCCTATTATGGCCCAAAACACCACACTCTGGCGCTGCAAGGTGCAGTACAGCTTAGAATATTATTTAGAGACTACTTCTATATTATTCTTGCACGTTCGCGCGTTGTGCCTAGTCTAATTGCACCATCCACAGTGTTGTTAGGAGGGCTCACCCACTTCAGCGCGCACCCACTTCTTTAACTTCTTTCTATCACCACATGCCCTAAACTCCTTTAGAGCTGCTATCTGCTGCCCTTCCTTAACTGTAAGGGTCCCTTCCTTCTAGATTCACTTTCTTTTGCGCGATTTACGTTCTATGGCAGCTGCTAGAGCTGCGTGAAGCTCAGCGTTCTCCTATTGCGCCAAAACTAGCTTGTGCAATAGAATCACTCCCCCCTTTGCGTAGTGCTCAAGCGCGCTCAGCACAGAATTAGGTAAGCTACCCTGCTGCTTCTTATACTTCTCTTAAATCAGAGTTAATTGCGACTAAAGTTCTAGGGTATTGCTAGGGGTTTGTAACTGCTAGGGCTTATTATTATTAGGGAGTTATAGTAATAGAGTGCGTAGCTTTATATTAAGCCCTATTATAACCTATTCTAGGTTAAAGGGGACTAGTCTAGCGCCTTAGAACCCTCCTTAGATATTACTTAAGGTAAATATAGTATTATAGGCTACTTTAAAGCATAGCAGGAACTTAAGCTTTATAATATAGTTAATCTAGTTACATATAAGGTCTTTAGCTTAGCGCCTATACGCCTTCTTTAGAGGGGTAAAATAGCCTATA